TCTAAATACAGACAGGGAATTTTCTAGGGAAGGTGGGAACAGTCGAGTTGAAATAGGTGCATGTTCCACTCCAGGCTGGCAGATCTTTGATCAAGTCTCTTAATATACTAGCTCTGTCACTCAGGGCCTGAATACTTGACATGTTAACATGGATATAATGTAAATCAGTTTTGTACACAACTCTAAGTTACATTAGAATCCAGAGAAGACAGACAGCTGATTATACTGGAGTAGCTGTCATGATACTTCATTAGGTGACAGGGGACCCACAATAGTTTGTTTGCACTCAGCAATGTTACCTGGAATAACTATACATGCATGTCATCTACATCAGTGTTTTTACTGTTGCTTCCTCCCCTCCCACCCCAAGTAATTCTGTACTGAGTTCCAGTAAGTCACACCAGTAAAGAGACTGACGCCCCATGTCCACTCTTCATGTTCAGACCTGTGTGATGGGTACATGTGTGATGGGTTCAGGCCCTAATTTTTTTTATTTTACCTTCTTTCCAACTAGTTGCACAAAAAGAAAATTTTAGACCTGTTTGTAAAGTTGTTAGAACATAGCTGCAAAACTATGAACGGATGTTGCACCTGTCCTTGGATAAGTTGTGCTTGGGTTCGTCCCAGAACAAAATATCCTGGAACTGCCACATGCACACATCACCTTTCTAATTAGGTTTAATGAGTGGTTGAATGTAGTTCTGCTTTTCTGCCACTGATTTACTGATGCAGTCCTGGGATAGCTGTACAGATGTCCTTTGCAGTATCCCAGGATAGATGGCCAGTACTTCTTACCTGTGAAACTTTTTTAGGATTTAACTTAGGACAACAGACACAGATCTGTCTGTACAACCACACTTTGCTCCAGGATTAAATGGTTTATCCCAGGATAAATGCACCATCTGTTTGTAGCCAAAGAGACTTATCTAATTGCAGCCTTGCTTTGCTCTGCAGAAGTAACAGAAAAAAGACAAAGATAATAACCCTTACTCAAGAGGTTACTCAACTGCAGTTATTAGCAAAGAATCGCATCCTGCCCAAAAGCTTGGTAAACCTCAACTTACAACAGGGCCCTGGCATTGCTTGTTCTGAACAGATGTCAGTGATGGGCCTGGCTTCCAGCAGCAACCATCTCACTAGACACATTCCGACATCCAGTATTTACGTTTTGGCTTATCCTTACAATAATTCAGTTGTATATGAAGTATGTGTCAGATCAACCACAGTCAACACCCAGGACTGTAGAAAAACCCAAATGCATGCCCTTGGTAGAGGAAGACGCATCAATGTATTTCATTGTGCTTTCTAACATTGCTCAAAAGATAAACGTAGAGAGAGATGAAACAGTGCTATCAAGGAAACACAGAGCTTGGCAGGTATCATACAGAGAGAAAACAGAGGGACTGGCAACAAGGATCCATTTAGGTGGGAAACCTTTTCAAATATCGTTGTAAAGTATCCCAGGGCATTTTCCATTCAAGCAGTGATGCTCAAATGTGCTGTGTAGCATATCTCTGCTCAACAAAAATGTGCCATTTCAGGGACATTACCTAATGCCAGCCCAGGATCTCCCCGTTCCAGGCACTGCCTAGCTGAATACTGTCAGTTTTGGTTCTTTAAGATGAGTTACCCACGTGAGCCTGTGCTCCCGCTTAAGAAAAGAAAAAAATAAAAAATCCTAGGTCATGGCATCCAAACTCAGAAAAAACAAGGCTCTGTTGAAATCACAGAACCAGGAGCGTAGGGCAGGCAGGGGCCTCCACAGATCTAGTCCAGTGGTTCTCAACCTTTATGTACCAGGACCCATTTGTAAACCGCAATGGCCAGTCCTCACCCAGTGCCCCCAGCCCCCATGGGTGGAGCAAGGGGGGGCCCCCAAGCAGCCCCTCGCAGGCTGAAGCTCTGCCAGCCTGCAAGGGAAGAGCTGCAGTTTACCATGCTTTTCTCCTTTAAAGGAGAATCCATTTTTAAAGTTTGTTTGTGCCCCTTCCACATATTCTTGTGACCCATGAGTTACAAAATGCTGCTCTAGCCCACCCTCTGGCCCAGGCAGGATCATCCCTATCCAAACCACACTTTGCTAACCCACCGTCTAACCTTTTGACTCCCCTGGACAGACTTGATGCACCCCTTAGAAAACCCCAGCTCTTAATTTCCCCTACCAAACACTCCCAGCGCTGTTTTCATCCTGCAAGGGGCACCGAAAGACCCCTGCAGTGCTTTCCGTTTGAAGCCTCTGGGCTCAGCAGGTGAGCCAGGCTGGCCAGCCTTTCGCGTGGCAACCCCAGGGCAGCACCTGCGCGTATGTCGGCGGCTGGGACCCCCTGGCTGCTTCCTCACTCGGGATTTTAAGATAAAAGAAAGGCCCCCCGGTTTTGGCTTTTTTTTGGGGGGGGGGGGGGGGGG